AGGTGTGTCTGGTGCGAGGGGTAATGGCGGCGGACCACAGGGTATTCAGATGGGTATTCAAATCCAGATGACTTGTAAACTGGGAGGGCATGGTGTGGCATTCTTCTCTGCTGATGGCGCTAGACTTCGGAATTTCTTGAGCTGCAAACGAGAGAGCGCATCAGCAATGTTGTTATGAACGCCAGGGGTATGTTGTGCGATGATGACAAAGTTACCCTTAGCAGCAGTCCAGGTTAGTGTTCTCATTAAAGCCACAATCTTAATACATTTGGATCTGCCTTTCCTAATGATATGAACTGTTGATATATTGTCACAGCTAAAGAGCACGCGTTTTTGTGACCACCTATGTCCCCACAAAATGGCTGCCACAACAATGGGGTATAGTTCCAGGAAGGCAAGGCTGTGTTCTACGCTCAATCCACCTAACAGTTTTGAAGGCGAATTGTCGGCAAACCAGGATCCTTGGAAATAGCCACCAAAGCCTATGGTAGCGGCCACATCCGTGTATAGTTCCATGTCACAATTAGCGGTGGCAGTACAGTCATGGAAGAATGACACTCCATTCCATTCTTTCAAGAAGGTGGCCCACATGTGTAGGTCTTGGCGGCAGGCATGGGATAAGTACACATGATCATGGAGTTTCTTCACTGTCTTAGAAAGGTCGATCAGGTAGGATATGAAGGAACGACCAGGGATAATGACTCTGCATGCATAATTTAGATGCCCCAATATATAAAGCAGTTCCCGTTTTGTACACTTTTTCCGTCGAGAAAACTCATCAACCATTGCTGAAATTCTGGACAACTTATCGCGTGGTAGCTTAGCAGTCATTGAAAGCGAGTCCAGGACAATTCCAAGATATTCGATAACTGGAACAGGACCTGCTGACTTATGTTCAGCTAATGGTATTTGGAGATGCCTAAAGAGTTCACATAAAGTGTTCATGGTTTTCTGTGCATCAGCAGTTGGCGCATCAATGGTGAGGAAGTCGTCAAGGAGGTGGAGAATATGTTTGACGTCATAATTGTTATGCAGAATCCAGCGTACTGCTTCTGCGAGGGAGTCAAAAAGTTTTGGGCTTGATCTGCATCCGAATGCCAAACGTGTATAGAAATAGAACTCTTCTTCCCACTTGAATCCGAAGAACGGCCAAAACTTGGGTGCAATGGGTACCTGTTTAAAGGCGTCAGAAATGTCAACCTTGCACATCAAGGCCCCCGGTCCTTCTTCCAGAATAAGAGATATAGCGTTGTCAATAGTCACATAGGACAGGGAGCACAAGTCTTTGTCAATTAGTTTGTTTACACTTGGGATATCTGGCTTGTCGTGTGGGGCTGAAAGGTCCAAAATTAGTCTTTTCTTGCGGCTGTACTTGCCTTCAGCTAAACCTAGAGGACTGACTCGATAGATGGGGTAAGGTGACTTGTTGAAAGGTCCGATCAAGTATCCCCTTGCCACTTCTGACTTGACCAGTTTTGTGATGGTTGAGGGCTCTCGTCGGGCACTTAGATTGGTAGAACACTCGACAGTTGTAGTTGGCAGAGGAGCGATTAGAGGGTCAAAGCCCAGTGTAAGTCCATTGATTAGGTTGTTGGAGGAAATTTGGTTTGGATGAGATGAAAGTTCAGATTTTAAATGAATCACATTGATAGGTGTTAGGTTAACAGGTCTACATTACTACCAAGTAGACCTGTTAACCTAACACCTATCAGATGGGAGCCAGCCGATCTGGAGTAGGTCAGGTCTTATTCTTCCTCTCTCTGCAGTTCTGTTTCCCGTGGCTTGTGTCTTTGCAGATTACACACACATGTTCGAAGTAACAGGTTTGTCGCTGGCAGCCCTGGTCATTAAAATTGTTTCACACTTCTCTGCCGTTGAAGCGCACTTTAGGGTGACCTCTGGCGTCGACTTTGCCTTGATGGTAGCTTGTTGAGGTCCTGTCGAACTGCCCGCTTGGACGTCTGATCCTGGGGTCCATGAGATTTGGGCATCCCTCAGAAGTGTGGGTTATGCTCTGGGACAAATGACATGACCGGGCCCTCTGTCCTGTGGAACACATTGTATATATCCTTTTGTCCACCATGTCCCACCTAATAGGCGTTCCATTTTCTGCATATGCTGCTACACGTGCATCAAACAGTTTGTGGTAATCATAGTGATTTGTCTTGCCGGGAAAGAGTTTCGCCAGTCCTACTACAGTTCGTTCGTGGTCATCCAATTGTGCACGTAGTTCGTGGTTGTTTTCGCAGTACACATTCTTGTATGCAGTGAATGCAATGATGAAGTCGGGTAGTGACAAAGACCTTCCTAGCTTAGTATCTTCGCGTCCCTCTGCTTCACGTTCACTGATGTCGAGATCTTGCTGAAGTAATAGTGCCAAGTTGACGTATTTACCTTGTTCGATTTTTGTTTTGAGGTGGGCTGGAATGATGTTGATCGGTGGCAGAGAGTCAGAAGGGACGGCCTGTGGCATCTGGAGGGTTGTTGGCTGATGTGTTGTTGTAGAATCCCCTTTCAACAAGTAGATAAGTGCTTTCAGTTCACGCACTTCATCGCGGAGAGACTTGTCGTTCGCCATGTTGTTTACATCCGGGCATCTGGCAGGCATGTCGGAAAGCACGGGGGAGGTGTCGTTACTGCCGTAAATTGAATCCGTGTCGACCTGAATGTGTGTCCTAGCTGCTTGGGCTAATTCGTTGACGGAAGGTTGTAAACTGCTAGCTGCACTTGTTGATGGCTGGTGATGAAGGTTATCGTGTTGAGCCTCGTGTGTCGTAGCATGGGTGTCACTGGTCACTTCGATTAATCTGCCGCTTGACACGTTCTCGTTGTAAAGCTGCAGGAGGAATTTCCGAGTCCACGATGTAGGCACTTTCATTCCCAGCTGTGATAGTCAGTTTCTCAGGTCAGCTGCGGTCAAATACGGGGGGGTTGCCCAGCTAGGTCGACTGGAGCGAGGTGTGAGGTCGCCATCTTGTTTGTTGTGATCTGTGAGCCGCTGACACTTTTGCCTTTACGAGGTCGTCTAGACGAAGGGGGTTGTTTCCCTCTGCTGGCAGACATGTTGGCCCAGAGTAGGACAATAGGCAACACGATACGGGAATGGATGTCAAAATAACATCGAGATTAAGGTCGATTACAAGAAGCATAAACAAGATGGCTTTGAGAGAAACAAGAACAAGCGGATGGTGAGTGAAGGGTTAAATAGGCTTTAGTGAGTGACGTCAGAAGCATAGGTTTGCGCATGCGTTGCCGACAAAGTATTGAATTGTGGGATAGGTAAAGTGTAACCTGATCCATAGCAGAAAAATAGAGTACGATGTACAAGTGATGACAGTTCATAATAAAATATACGTCGTTGTAGGATACATAAAGCACGAGAAGCTGCGGCTAAAGTAGTAGTTGTTTGTGCACAAACTAAAATAATAAATTTGACATCAAGTATGACTTTTAACAAGTCAAAGTACAGCATATGTGATATCTAGATCCATTCACTTTTCAAGGCATCAATAGCGGAAATCTGATCGTGGCTGCTATAAATAATGGTGTGTTGGGCCTTTTTATTATTACTTTACACACAATTTCTCCAGAAATAATGAAAACAATATTGAAAGAAATTTTGAATAAAACTAATAAAATATATTACAAACATAATTTCAGTTATACAATGACCATGTTTTAATAACCAGATAGTGTAATAATAGGATTAAATTGTGTACTTCAGTTCGGTTTTGTTGACAGGTATTTCCGGTAGCCTACTATGTGCTCACAGTGATTCTTTGCAATGAAAAACTTGAGTTAATTAAAAATGTAAGAAAAGATTGGGAACCATGCTTTTCTGCGCACTGTATCCGAGTTAGTGCTAAATTGAAGGGCACAATAGTGAAGGAAAACTGCATATAGCACATACATTGTTTGATTTATGTACATATTTAAAAGGATGGGGGATATTGATGACTTTATCTTCTTGTTGAGTTTACAATAGTTTATAATATACAATAATCATGCAATTGCAAAATGAGGTTTTAATTACGGTCTCATATGTTGTTTTTTAATATAATAGGTCTTTTGACATGACATTATTACATGACGTGATTAAATATCAAGCTATGAAAAACAAAAATGGGATTCATAATCAATCTCAGTCAACTTATCATCCACTCATTTGGAAATCTGAACATGCTTTCCAATGAGGTACTTGCCCGATACTTGTTTTTTATCAAACTATTACCATCACCGGTATTTCCTAATAACTGGATCCGTTGAGGTCCCATTTTGTCTGTTTGTTTAGGTTGAAGAAATTAATCAACATGCACTGTTTGTAATATTGAAATTTTCATAGACCACAGGTAACCAATCAGTGTTCAGAAATGCATACAGATATTGCCTCAGGGTGTATTTCCCCTGTCCTTGCAGACGGGAGCACAGTCTCTTGTCACGTTCAGTTGCGTTCGCCAGCAAATCGACTCACACATTCATTATCACTTTTTATTGCTTCACTCTGGCTCCAAATTGTTTTCATGTTGCTTTAGTTGCATCACTGCTGATGTTAGTGCATTTTAAACTACATCTTTTTGTTTGTCAGCCTTTCTGTCTAAAGTACTGCTGCATTTACTTAAAATAATCTTGGAATCACATGTTTAAAATTATGTCTGTATTATGTCAAAAATGGTATGTCCAACAATGTTATATCTAGCATATGAAATCATTATTACATATGTGCTTATCTTGAACCATATGATTAATACTTTTTCATATAGGACATGGGACTATGTAATACTTCCTTTTGAGATTTCCAATATATGGTACCTGTGGAAGTTGTTTTGAAAATATTGCATCAGATTTGTGTAAACAACATCTTGTGTCATAATTGAACAGAAAATGAATACAAATGTTAATATAGATTCATCTGTACAGGTTTTTATGCAACATTATGCAATCAATGAGGAGTTAAACATCCTTGATTCACCTTTTCCTATACCACCAACTCCAAAACTAACCTTCAGCACCTTTCACCTCTGGCAGACTGACTCCTTTCTCCTCCTTCTTCTCCACAAGTCGATTCTTGCTACTGCGATCATGGTAGGTAAGGTTCTTGTCATACATACAGCTCTTTTCAGCTTGTAGGGGCTGTGGACTGATTGTAATACTGTGGTGGTTTGACAGCTGTTTTTTGGTCATATTTCCTTGGTGTTTCTTTGCAATCTTGTCACTGCTCCTGTCATAGATAATGGCCAGTGTTAAGATATCTTAGAAGCAATTTGAGCCCTGAGTTTACCTCAAAGGTTATAAAGGCTTAACTTGTGTTAAGAGTAATGTTTTGGAAAAACAACAGAACAACAGAAATAGAGCACTCCTCTGGTTTGAAGACATCTCTTCCAGTATGTTCATACATCAAACAATAGATATCATTGTTAATAATTCTGAGAATACTACCTCTATTACATCATTGCCATAAAACTTGTATTTTGACTCTTTGGCCTTTGGCTCACACTATAAAAAAACAGACTTTCAAAAGAAGTCCTCTTCACTGTCTACTATGCATAGTCAGTAGTGCAAGTAATAGTATCCTGCTGCCTAAGCCTCTTGCATGGGGGAAAATATCTTATGTTTCCAAACGTCAGCTCTCCAGATGCAGATAATGGGCGATCTTTTTGTTCCAAAGGACGATAACTCTCCTTTTGAAATGATATAAGCGACGGTCCAACCTGTCGCTTCCGGTCTGGTTCCCGGATCAATGCGCGCTGCGACAACGACTGACATGTAGAGACGGAGCCAAGCTAAAAAGTTATCCTGTTGCACCTTCGTTCAAAAACGGTCGTTTACAACTGAATATTTTTAACTAGCACATATTTTGTAGTGATTATTAGTTTATATTATCAACATTTGTTGAGTCTTCAACTACAAGACGAATTGTCACTTTGGAATATAGCGGGGAAAACGTCATGAAAAATGGTATATTGTCACAGTATTTTCTACGTCAGAAAACAGCGAGGCATTCTGTCAGTCTGGGCTAACATATTGCATCGATGAAATAATGCAAACTCATTTTATTTATCAGCCTTTGTGTTATTTCCTACAACAATTCATGCATTCAAATCTCAACAAATACTACCACAAACTTCAATTTAATAAAATTAGTGATACGCCAACATTTGCAGCACACAGACATCTTTGACAGGCCTTTACCAATGATCTATATAGTAAGTATACATCCGTGCCTTTACAAATATTTTGAGAAGAAATAACGTTCAAAATAATAAAACAACTGATTTTAAATGTTACTTTTTTTATATCAAAGTTAAAGTTGCATCTGAATATTTAAATTTATATTATTTTTGTAGAAATAGGCCTAATGAACATCTACCATGCATCTATTAAGCACTCTGTTACTCAGTTGCAATATGCATACTAGTCATCATACTTTGAAATAAGAGATTTACCCATATTATTCTGCCCCTTATAACATGTGTCCCACCATTAAGTGCTCTGAGTCATCACAGGTGTTAATTCATTGATCCATCATTTCTTACAGAATTCTGATACTCATGCTCTTAAAATAGTAGTTAATTACAGAGATGTGTCCCAACAAACAACAAATCATACTGAATACCCCACAAAATGTGTATGATGCATAAATAGATCTAAATCAAGTTTTATCTTCTTGTTTTAGTAACATTATATTTTTTTTAATGTTGACATATTTCCCATACAAACCCACACACTATCCTGCTGTATCTAAGTATCCTGATTTTCATTCAACAGTACTTCAAGACACCTGTATTTTAAAGTATATTTTGTAGTTATTATTATCATATAGCAAATATGAATTTTATATGAAAATATGAATATGAAAGTTTATCATCAAATCTTCTGATAGTTAAATAAATGGAAATTGAACCCCACAGTCATTCCATGTAGATAAATGGATTTATTTATGTTATTTGTTTTTGCATATAACAGATTATACTTACATATTTTACAGTCAGTGTCTATAATCAGGCCCAATATGTATTTTGACTGAACATTTCAGTCAATATGCATATTGACTGATTCACTCAGGTAAGGTATATTTTTTCTTAAATTTTCATTTATTTATTATTGACTAAAAATAGGACCGGTTTTTAGACAGACTGGCGGAAATGTATAGACTGCATAATTTAATCTTCTCAAATTAATTTGGATCTAGTTTGATCTTATCAAGATCAAAGTAACTTATGTAAGAAATTAAAAATGTTTTCACAATGAATTGATTGATTCTCCAAACCTGAAAGAATACCAGAGTCCCAATACTAGTACACATGCACAAGTGTGCCAAGATATTAAATAAAATAATAAGAGTCATTGTGCAATGCAGATATCTTTTGGTGTGAAGTGAAAAAAGAAAAACATTAATAATTTGTTTGTTGGAATTTGAAACATCAGTTTAGAAAATTGTAGTTGGTACGAATACTCTTGAATATGTATTTTAACTAATTTATAGGGTCCCCTGTGTCTGAATTGGGTTTTTTCTGCTTTGTAAAATTAAAAAAAGGCCAAAATAATATATATCTTTCATTGTTCATATTGAAATATAATCATGGTAGTATTTGGCAACAAACAGCTACCATTCATATACATAAAATCCTTGTATACAACATGCACTATTGAACCCTTAAATATCAAAACAGATTTCAGTGATTTCCATTTCTTTTATTTTGAAGATTGTATCATGATATCTAGTTGATGACGTAATTTTACAGTGCCTGTTACTCTTACAATTTCTTGAGAACATTTCTCATTGCTCTCAGTTATATATCTGACAAATACTTACATGTGTTGCTGTCAATATTCACAACATTGAGCCTACGGGCAACGTTGCATGAGACCTTCACATTTCGCGTAACGTATCGCCTCACAGTTTAACATAATGAAATGCATGCATATGATGTGGCCTGCTCGGCGATGCTACAACATAGATATAGGAACGTATACAAAATCTACTTAATTTTCATAATCATACATCAAGGGCAACACTTTCAGTACCGATTGCAAAACGTCAACAAAGCGACCTGGGAGGAACGATCAGCTGATTTCACCGCATCGCTTCGAACGCCTATCTAGTGGTTAACTATACAATATAATCAGTCGTGGTCATCCCTGATTATATCAAGGAACATATATTTCCGGACATGGCAATAAATAAATAATTGTTTAGGCGAAAAGATATACTGTCCGCACACAAGTGTGACCGTTGCCGACAGAGGTGAAGGTTGTACTAGTTAACTGTCTATAGACGTCATAGTAACATGTAGTGCTCATATCGCGCATACCACATGCGCCGTCAGTTTAAGGTTGGACCGTCCGGGTCAGCGCACCTAGCGGGTTAGTGAAGGGAAGATAAATTGAAAAAGATCGCCCATTAAATTGTGGATGTGAGTGGATATACTCCTGATGTAATAAGGGCAGTATTCTTTGAATTATTAAAAGTGATAACTATTGTTAACTTAAGATGTCATCAGATGCTTCAAAACCGATTGATCCTTCCACATCATGAAGTTTTTTAATACTATTTATGGTTCTGATGACATCATTTACGGATTTGATGACATCACTTCCAGATCTGATGATGTCCCTTCCAGTAATGATGTCAAGATCACCGAAAGTGATGTCATAACTGGAAGTGACGTGATCAAAACTGGAAGTGACATCTGATGTAAGACTAGTTTCTCTGCTGGTGATTGAAGCTGAGACTGGACACTTCTTAGTGCCGGTCCTGGTAGATCTCTCCCTACTGCTTCTTCTGATTTGTATGGTATCTGTGTGGTTGCTGTTTGGTGATCGTGAAGAACAACTAGATCCTGCATTGATGGTCCTTATGAGCATGGCGAGTAGAGGTTGAGAGATATGACTGCCAGATCTGCCGCATGGTGACCGAGCAAGTAGTGTAGAAGCCCAATAATCAACACTTTGGTGGATATCTTCCCTGGGACTGATAATCAAGACCTATCACAACCACCGTGACAGTGCCTCAGTCATCATTATCTTCTTCAAATCCTCCTGTACCTTTCCAGGAAGAGAGATAAGCACTGAGAAGATCTCATATCCTCTGTGCATATCCTCAATCCCAAACATGCTTTTATGAAAGAAGGTGAAACTAAGGTAAACAAAAACACATATACTTTTCTTCAGCTGAATCTCAGGATAATAAAACCCAAATCTTCATTAAACCGAAGATCTAATTAAAGCAGGATAACTAACAAAGTCATGTGCTAAGTTAACTCAGAAATGTTTTCACTGCTGTCACTAGAACAGAGTTTCCTACCTTGCACAAGCACAAGAGGCATGGGCAGCAAGAATTATTGCGAAAAGATTTTTAGAACTGTGATGACTCATATCCGGTTTACATTTCGGCATATACACAAAGCTCTACATCTCTATCAGGATTATAAACCAAGTTCTTCCACTTTGTGTACATAATAGCATCCTACACCCATTGTGTGGAAGAAAGCTATAGGTTACTTGCGTTTGAAGATATCACTTCCAGTTTCCATAAACAGACCCCAATGTCAGAAGTAATAACAAAACAAAAGGGTACTTCCAGTTAGCACATACATACATCTTCCTCATGAGACCACACCACAAAATATTGGGGAAAAAGGGAGGGAAACAAATGAATTATGTCCCAAAACTAGCTAAATATAACCAAAATTTCATTACTTTTTTGACAAAAATGGCTGAAAACAATAGCTTTTTCCTAGGCTGCCATTGAGGCAATAATGAATTGTTTATCTGGACATTATAAACAATTCAGTATCCGATCATTACCCTCATCATCCATACAGAGTATCAGCCGAAATTTCAAAGAAAAGTCATGTTTGGAAAACATGTAAATTTGTGGGTATGGTCAAGCGCAAAGGTCAAAACAAGGTACAAATTTTAAAAAAACCAAACAGTTAATTAAAATTGAAAATTAGGTCAAAATATCCTGAAAACAAGCTCAGCTGTCATTATTAGTGGGAACATGTGCCAAGTTTAAGCTTTATAGGTGTTTTAGAGAGGAAGATGCACAACAAGCCATAATATAAGGTGAGGTGAAATGGGGTTTAACATCGCGTCCAAGTTTATTGCACTTATATAGTGATGTACATGCACGTGTATGTGTGTGTGTGTGGATGCTTGTACTAGTCCGGACTGATGCCGATTTATAGTGCTAGCACACTGAGATACTGTGCCGCA